CCCGCTTCCTTCCTTGACGTCCCCGTGGCCCGGGGAGGGCCCCCGAGGCCGAAACTGGCGAGAAGCCTCCCGCCTTTTGTTGGTGGGTTGGACGACGACGCGAGCACGTCTGGGCTCCCCCCCCCCCCTCCCTTCCCCCCTCCGTTCTCCGGGGCGCCCCCGAGGGCGCGAAGCGCGGAGCTGGGCGCCCTCCGTGCTGGCCCTGCGCCCCGCGAGGTCATTCTGGGCGCCGCGGCCGCGGGCGCCGGCGGGCGCCGGGGCGCGCGCGGCGCGACCGCCCCCTCGCGCGGCGGCAGGAGGCCGGGCTCGCCCTGCCCGCCGCGCCTCGGGGCTCGAGGGGGCGGGGGTCCACGCCAGCGGGGGTCGGCCGGAGCGCCGGGGGGGCCGGAGGGCGCAGGGGCGGGCGGCCCGCGCGCGCCGCTGGGGCCCCCTCGGGGCGACCAGCGCGCGTCGCGGGAGGTCCGTGCTGCGCTCTGCCCCGCGCCTCGCTCGCCCCCGTCGCCGCTGTGCCCAGCGGCCAGAGCCTTGCCCGCTATCAGCCAGCCAGCTCGCTCTCTCTCTGTTCCGAGGTGCCCCCCGCGCGCAAAGGGGGGTCATGGGGGAGGGGGGAGGGCTTCCGAGAAGCACCCCTGCTTCCTGGGTTGGCGTGGCGCTCCGCCGGCGCATCGCCGATGCATCGCCGGTGCATCGTCGATGCATCGCCGATGCGGCGGGATCCTCCGACCCCATCTATTCGAACCCAATTTTGGACGATCCCATACGTGTGGGAAGGTTTGGATGGCGAGTCGCTCCGCCGTCTCAGCGTCCACTGGCGTCGACATCGCCGCACAAGCGTCGATTTAGCATCGATCTAGCGTCGGTGAGCACCGATTGGCGTCGACTGGCGTCGATTATAGCGTGAAGTTGAGAGAGGTGGCAAGACGGCATAGGAGGCTCCGGTGAGTTGCCAGGGACGTCGGGGACTTTGGCTTTGCGTGTCCCGCCGCCGGTTCTGGCCCACCACGCTGCGGCGCGGCATGCCGTCCACGCCCCGTGCCCCAAGCTTCGACGCCCCGGGCCTTCCCCAGCCTCCCGCCCCGCGGAGCCTAGTTAGCGACACGCTTGCACGAGTCGGCGATGCTGTCCTCTCGTTCGGGGCCGATGTTCCAGCGCTTGCACGATTTGACGATGTGGTCATCCTCTGTTTGTTTCGTCCTCTTCATGAGTTTTTTTTTGGTGTGGCGTTTGTACTTTTACTATCTGTCGTGGCGTTCCCATATGCTCCCTCGGTGGGAGGGCGGCCCCCCCGCCCTCGGCGAGGTGGCCTGCGGGTTCCTGGGAGGCGAGCGCCACGAGCGGCAGTCTGAGGAGGAAAAAGTGCCGCCCCTCGTTTTCGCTTGCTTGGGCCTCCTGAGTGGCCCTCGTCGCCTCCGCTGGATTCGCCTCGGAGTTTTGGTCAGATGGCAGCCCAGGAGAGGGCCGTGGAGCAGCGGTATCGGTGCCTTCTGGTGTGCTCAGCGCGCGTGGTGCGTCGCAGGAACACCACGACGGGAGGCCACGAGTGAAAGGGGGCCCCGAGTTGGAGCCAGCTGGGGCGCTGAGGTTGTCCAGCTCTGGTTCCGAAGAAGAAAGACCCCCGAAGCCACCACCACACCCACACTCGGCCCCCTCCTCGCCACGGCGAGACGCAGCTCGAACAACCTGCCAATTTCGACCCCAGGAGGGGTCCAGGAAACGGTTTTGGCCGAATCCGCCCTCCTCCCCCTCGTGGCCGATTTTCTTTGGGCTCCTCCTGCCCAGGCTGCACCCAGGCCCCCCAGCGCGCTCCGCGCGCCAGGGGGGGGGGGGGGCCCAGCGCCGATCCGAGAACTCCGCGCGGACCTCCGAGTGTTTTGATCTTTTGTCGCTCTTCGCTCCCCTGCCCCAAGCCCCGAGGAGGACGGGCCCCGTGCTTTTCGTTTGCCGCCTCTGGCCTCGGGCTCTTCCCCCGGGCCCCGGCGGCCGGCAGAGGGGCCTGCTCGGGAGCCGAGGCGGGTCCTGGGGGCCCGGGCCCGGGGGTCCAGGGCCAGTCTGCTTCGGGGCCCTCTCCTCCCCTTGTGCCAGGGAGGGCGGGGAGGATGGGGGAGGGGGTGGAGGATGGGGGAGGGGGTGGAGGATGGGGGGGAAGGAGGGGGGGGGGGAAGACGGGGGAGGACGAGGGGACAGATGATGGGAGAGGATAGGGGGGAAGAGGAGGCGGATCAACGGGGACGGAGGAGGGGCTTTTGCCTGTTCCTTCTCTCTCCTTCTGATGTTCCTCCCCCTTCTCCTTCTTCTTTCCTTGCTCCTCCTCCTCCTCCTCCTCCTCCTCCACAGTCCGTAATCGTTCTGGCTCTCACGCTATGTTGGTCAAGAGTTCGGGTGATTTGAGGCGGGGCGCATCTTGAGCATGATGGCGCGGGAAGGCGCGCTGCGTGCGCCAAAGAGGACAGCCCAGGGCCGGAAGCACGCTGAAATCAGAACCATCTCACCCGCAGACCGTCTCACGCTGAGTATTAGAGAGCCAGTCCAGGTGTCTGTACTCGCAAATTGCCGACGCACTGCATGTATTGTGCGACGGCGACACCGGATTCGCGGTGAAGGAGCACTTGGCGTCGGCGTCACCTTCAAATGCAACCTGGCGACGTACGCCGACTTGCCAGGAGTTGAGCGTCGCCGATGCTGATGCCACGCCCATGAAGGCTCTGCAGAGCAAGCCACGTCTAGAGATCAGACGACAGGCGGCGACCGAATTGCGTTGGCTGCATGCGACAGTCCTCAATTTTGCCGGATGTTGTACTCCAAGGGCTGGGACAGCGTGACCCCTTTGAAACGCAGGTGTATGCACTCGTAGGCCCTCTGGACGTGAGTAGCCAACTGCCCGCAGAACATGCCGCAGTGCAAGCATCTCGCGCAAGTCATCTGTGAGCAGGAGCGCCGTCTCATGGAGAACAAGCTGCGCGACTTGAAGAACGAGCGGATGAATCATTTCGCACCAGAGATACCACGGGTATGGAGGCCACGAGCTCCTAACACGAGCCGAGCGTCAGCTCATGCCGAGCTGAACGAAGCCCTGCAGGATGGTGCCCACGCCCAGGCAAAGGTGGAAAGCGGCCGCCACGAGGGGGACGGAGCCCAGCAAGGACTGGAAGGACGTCATACGGGCGCAAGCCCACGCCGCCGTGACCACCAGGAGTGCAGCATTTGGCGCGAACTCAAGGGAGGAGGAGGAGGAGGAGGAGGAGGAGGAGGAGGAGGAGGAGGAGGAGGAGGAGGAGGAGGAGGAGGAGGAGGAGGAGGAGGAGGAGGAGGAGGAGGAGGAGGAGGAGGAGGAGGAGGAGGGCTCGAGGGTTGGCCCCAAGACCGAGGCGGCTGCGATAGAGCCCGCCCGCGCGGAGGAGAAGCACCCGCAGACGCAGACGCGGCCGCGTGCGCCGAGGAAGCGGACGAGGACCGGGCGCGTGAGCAGGCCCCGCTCGTCGCCCCTCCGAGCCCGCCGAGGGGGAGAGGCCGAGGTCGAGCAGCTGCTCAGGCCCGCGGGCGGCTCCCGTGGACGCTGCGCGGACGCGGCGCTGGACGAGAGGCGCGCGGGGCGGGGGAGTACAGTCGGGGCGCTGAACAAGGAACCCTTTTCGTTGGGGAGGGGCTCCGTGTTCCTCAATTGTTTCGCAGCCTGCCTTAGGCTGTCCGTAGGTTTTCGATGGGGAATCGAAGTTCAACTCATGGAAAAAAGGGGCCTCGTTCCTTATTTAGGGTTCCTTAGGTCAACGCCCCGACTGTAGCGGGAGCAGGTGCGCTTCCTCCGCGCTTTCGAGCGCGGCTCGAGAGCGCCTTCGTGGGCTCGGCCGGCGCGGTCGAGGAGCGGCGGCCACCGCGGCGCCGGCGTGCCGCGCGGCAGCGCAGCACGGGCGCGGGCGCTGGCCGCGCGTGCCCGCGGGGCCAGCGCACGAGACGTGCGCGGAGTGGCGGGGAGGAGAGGGCGCCGAGGCGCGGCCCCTGCACCCGTGGCGCTGGTGGAGCGGCGTGGGAGCAGCGAGAGGAGGGCGCATGGGAGGCAGGCAGCTCGTCCAACCAATCACCCTCCAAGCTCCTCTTCCATCCCCTCCTCCCCCCTCGTGATCATCCTGCCCAACTCGGGAGCTCCAGGAGCTCAGCACCCGAAACCGTGCTGGGGCGTTCGATTCCACCTCTTCGGCCCCAGGAGCCGCAAAAACCTCAAGGGTCACGGCTGCTTGGCACAGACCGGGCGCCTGGATTCGCCCAGCCTGGACTCCGCCTGTAGCTCCGCCGCCACGGCGCCCGCGACCGCTTCTGGCTCGCGAGGCCGAGCCGCACCGAGGCCGAGCCGCATGGAGCTCGGCGGCCGCGCTCCCTCCTCCTCCCACTGCAAAGAGCAGTGCTCGGCTCGTGCTGGTCTCCTCGCCAGCGCCTGGGCGGCGCTGGCGGCCTCGGGCGGCGCGCCTCGCCGAGCGAGCGCGGCACCCAGGTGACGGTCCGGAGGGGGGAGCCCCCGGCTCAAACGCGGCGCGGGTCCCTCCCGCCGCCGCCCCTTGTGGTCGCAGTGCTACGAGCCCGTGCAGTCCGCGCAGTATGCCAGCCTCCCCTGAGCCCAAGGCATCTTGACACGATCTCCTGAACCATATGTCCTCTTCCTCGCCCTCCCAGAAACTAGCCCCCCCCACCGAACCCTCAAAGACCCCCAAGCACCTCGCAGAACCCAACTGTGTGCTCTGAGACATCCCAGCAGCGTCCTGATCTCTCCTCCTCTTCGTCCTTCGTCCCTTCTTCCTCCTACGCCCCCTCCCTTTTTCCTCTCTTCTCTCCTCCTCTTCTTCCTTCTCGCCTCCTCCGTCCTCCCCTCCTCCATTCCGCCCTCCCTCCTCCGTTCCTCCTTCCCTCCCCCCCCTCCGCTTTTTCTTCCTCCTCGCCTCCTCCGTCCTCCCCTCCTCCATTCCGCCCTCCCTCCTCCGTTCCTCCTTCCCTCCCCCCCCCCGCTCCGCTTCAGCTGGCCCGAGCTCTGCAGATGCCCGGGTGCCGGCTCCTGGCGGCCGTCGCCACAGATGTCGATGTCGCCGGGCCCGCAGCGGAAGGCCAGCACATCTCCGTCGCGCCCAGCGGTCCGATGCCCCCTCCGGGGGAAGAGGGGGAGGGGAGAGAAGAGGCGGGTGGAGGAGAGGGGGGAGGAGAGGGGAGGAGAGGGGGGAGGGAGAAGGCGGGTGGAGGAGAGGGGTGAGGAGAGGGGTGAGGAGAGGGGGGAGGAGAGGGGGGAGGAGAGGGGAGTGGGGGAGGGGAGAGAAGAGGCGGGTGGAGGAGGGGGGGAAGGAGGAAGAGGGGAGGGGGGAGGGAGGCCATGGGCGAGGGACCGCCCAGTCCGACGTGGGGATGTAACATGCAACGTCGCGACAGACTGCGACGGGAGCCCGAAACGCCACCTCGCCGCGTCACTTTTCGAGCCTGCTCCATCTGCGAGGCTCCCGGGGCCCAGCCGCGGGCGACGACGCCCGTTGTGAGAAAAAACACGCAGCGCCAGGGGTCTCCGGGGAGACCTCGGGGGGGGAGGAGGGGAGGGAGGGAGGGAGGGAGGGAGGAGGGAGGGAGGGAGGGAGGAGAGAGGGAGGGGGGAAAGAGGAGGAGGAGGAGGAGGAGGAGGAGGAGGAGGAGGGGAGGACGTGCCGAGGGGCTCCCGAAAGGCCCCCGCCTGGCTCCCGCTCCTGCTGGGCCTCCTGGCGTTCCTGGCGCCGACGGCCGCCCGGGGGCACGGCGCGGGCGGGTGCCGGGGGCAGCGCGAAGCTGCGCGGCGAGGCGGAGGGCGAGCAAGGAGGGGAACAAGGGGAGGAGGAGGAGGAGGAGGAGGAGGAGGAGGAGGAGGAGGAGGAGGAGGAGGGAAAGGAGGAGGAGGAGGAGGAGGAGGAGGAGGAGGAGGAGGAGGAGGAGGAGGAGGGAAAGGAGGGGATCATGGGGGGGCGAGTTGAGGTAACGGCGGTTAGCCTTCGGAGGGTCCACTGGTCGCCACGGCTGGGCGCAGATCGAACAGCCTGTGCGTTTCGACCCCGGTAGGGGTCCGGGGACTGATTTCGAGCTGCCGTTGCTGCAAGTCGCCCTGCTCCGAGATAGGAAGGAGGACGACGAGCAGGGATCTGAGGAGGAGGAGGAGGAAGAGGGGGAGACGGGAGGATTAGGCGGGGACGGGGGACGGGAAGAGCGGGGGAGGAGGGAAGGAAAGGAGACAGAGAGATTAGATGGAGCAGGTGCAGGATGAGCCAGATCAGTGTCTGTATCAGTCGCAGTTGCAGCACTATCAGTGCTGATGGTGTTGGTTGTGATGTAGTTGTGGTAGCGGTATTGGCGCTGGTGGTGGTAGAGAGGAAGTGACACTGGCAGTGTTGGTGGGATAGTGGTTGATGCAGTGGTGGTCGTGGCTGTAGTGGGCGGGGTGGTAGAAGTAGTAAGAGTGGCCGCAGCGGTCGTCAGTTCAGTCAGATGCGCGGTGTCAGTTGTATCAGCAGCGCAGGACCTGCAGTGGCAGCACGATCAGCAGTAGTAGTGTTACTGTCTATATCTGTAGTGGTAGCAGTATCAACACCCGGTACGTAGTCACAGTAGTAATGGTGGTACTAAGAAATACATCATTTGCAGTTCGCTGCTGTCGCGTGTGAGCTGCTCTGGCCGTGGCCAGACCGCCTTTAGCATAATAAGTGATCCTGGACAGTAGACGTTGATGTTACTGTCAGTTTGATGCAGATCGAATGGTGGATCGCCTTTTGCGCTTTGCAGGGCAGCTTCAGTAGTTTTGTCTCCCTCATGTTTAATTGTAGTGCCGCGGTCGTAGTCGTCGTCATCGTCGTCGTCGTAGTAGCAGTATTACTCGTGTTAGTACTCGTAGGGATGGCCTTATTCTATTTGCTCCGTTTGTTCTCTGTAAGGAAGGTAAGGATGTAAGTCTGGGTTTTGTGGTGTGACGACGGGCGAGTGATAACTTCTCATCCTTTCTATGTTTTTGTATGTTTTTCCTGTGCACCTGCACACTTCTCATGCAATTCACGTATGGTTTGTATGTGAAAAGTGGAAGAGATGCTTGTGAAGCTCGTGTGGTTTTGACTTGCCTGTTGTCGAACTATCATATACAAATTTTGGCTCGCATAACAATCTAGTACGTTTTGTGCATCTTTTGTTGGCCATGCTCATTCGAAACCTGCTAGGCCATCATTTGAACACTGTGCAACGGAACATGTGCGGTTTCATGCGGGATTCGTTGGGCTCCCACTTGCACGCTGCAGGGTTTTGACATAAAGTCTATATGCCCCTCGGCTGACAACTTCCGGATTCGCATACGAATTCGGTATGGCTTATGTACGAACGTTGTGTGGCTCTCGTGAGGCAGCTGTGGATTTCATTTGAATGACGTGTGGCTCTCATGTGAAGACTGGATAGTTGCCACATCAAAACTTCAAACTTATCAATTGGTAGCCGCATGCTTTTAAAATGAACACTGCGTATGTGATT